AGCCCAAATTTTCTCTTATACCAGTGAAAAAATGGGAAACATGAACAAAGAAAAAAAAAAGGAGTTCAAAATGTTTATAAATAAATTGTTTTTGTTTCTTTTTTCTCTTTCCGTTTTTCTTTACCTCTCTATTTTTGAGAATTAAATAAGAGTATCATACGAGTAAAAAAGTTAATAAATGATAAAATTTTAAATTAAAACTGCGATATATGATTCAATAGTTAAATTATTTTCACTTACGCCAATGGGTTAATCATATCAAAACATATAGTAAGAGGCCAGAAAAAGATTAAAACCAACAAAAACAAAAAAACAAAAACACTTGCACACCACTATCAAAATGCCAAACAACTACTCCCTCTAGAAATGGTCCTGATGATTATGTTTCTGTGGTATCAATCACATGTCGTTGGGTGGTGGTGTTCATCTTTCTGCGTCTCCTTTTATCTTTTGGGGCTATGGGAAAGTCTCCATGGTACATGTAGAACAGGAACACTAAGAACAGGATAAGGCCAGCAATTTGATTCGGTACCACACTGAAATTTATGTTTAATTTTAGGTTAAATAATTTTTTATGAACCAACAAAATAATAAATTTATTAATTTTGACACATTGCTAAAATTTGTATTATGTAAAAAATAAAATATAATATCAAAAAAAAAATATTTTTCATTATTATAATTAGACCCGAAAGATACAATTGCACAATCTGAACTCTTTTTTTTGAAGGGGAGGACGCTATTGCATTAAAAAGGGACTACGAGGTGCGAACCACAACTTTAAAGTTCAACACCGGGATGGTAACCATTAGAAGAAGCTAATTTGGGCACGGCCTTGTCAATGTTGTGGGTATGTTTGCTTTAGGTATTAAGAAAGAGGGATCGGAAAAAATAGTGATGGGCCCATTTTATTTCTTTTATATCCATATTTGATACAGTATTATCACCTAGAAGTAATATCAATCTGGATGAGTTGTGTAATTCGATCCCTCCTAATGTTTTTAAACAAAACACGGCAACGTAGGTGTTAATGTACCATTGGCCACGGAAGAACGAAAGGCCACCAATAGAGAGACACAAGCCATTACTGCTCTTTTCTGTGCCCAACACCGAGTAGACAGTGGCATGGCATACTTCAACACCTGCTCTGGAGCAGGTACACGTGGTAATCAAGGGATTCACCACCACACTGGTTTATCTTTGTAGCTCAATTTAAAAAAAAAAAAATGGAGAGGAATTTAATGTATTATAGATATTAAATTAGTAAAATGAATATGTTTCATCGTTAATTTGATTAATTATAATGCATTATATCTTCAAAATAAATCTTTTTTTTTTTTTATGAAGAGATCACTTCTACAGAGTCAACTGCAAATACATATAATAATTTGCTAATCACCGGTATCATTTAAACCCAGAAATCACCATAAAGAATTGAATACAAAATTTTTAATTTCGGGTTAAGTATATTTTACTTCGATGTAATTTTAGCTAAAAACACCTTAACTAATTGATATTTAAAATTATTTACATTATTATCTTATAATTATGTATCAAAGTGAAGTAATTGACGTCGTTAACAGAATTAAAAAATTATTATAATACCCATGTTTTAAAATCCGACTTTTTGTCTAATTTATTATTGATCATAAAACTAATGAAATATGACAACAAATTAACATATTTCAATCAAACATGTCAAATCTCTTTTTTTTTCTTCAAGTGAGGTTTTGGTTCGGCACAGAAAAATTACTTATGTTTTTTTATATGGGACAAATATCCTATTTATTTGGATATTATACCATATATTATAAAATACATTTTAGGCATTTTTAGACAACATGTTTTGTGCAAGTGGAACACACTCTCCGTTAATTTGGATGATAGAAATAACCATTTCACTTTGGTATATAACTACAAATAAGTAATGTGCATAATTTTAAACGTCGAAGAGATAAGGTATGTTTAACTGAAACTACGAGGAGATAAAAAATAATAATTCGTTTTCTACAATTGAACCTTACACTAGGGGTGTCAATCATGTCGGATTAAACAGTTACGTATCGGGTTAAACAGGTGACAGATGAAAAACGTATAAACCCATACACGACACGTTTAATAAACGGATAAAAAATCTCACCACGACCACGATCCGTTTAATAAACAGGTAACACGACACAACTCATTTAACCCATTTAATTTTAAAAAAATTATATCAACAAATTTTAATACTCTATTTTTTTACTAATAATTGCATTTACCTCAAAAAAGAGAAATTTTAAATCAAATCTCATAAAAATAAGACTTGAAGGCTTTAAAAAAAAAAGCAAGAGATTATTGTCTTTTATTGGCAACTCACCCTCCCCATCTCCCCTCATTTTTCAATGTGGAACAAAAATAAAAGACATTAGTTTGCCTTTGTCTTTTAAATGCTTTACAACTCTTCTCTTTTGTCTTTGAAAAATAAGACTTGAAGGCTTTAAAAATAAAAACAAGAGGTCATTGTTTTTTATAAGCAACTCAACCCTCCTCATCTCCCCTCATTTTTCAATGTGGGACAAAAATAAAAGACATTTATTTGCCTTTGCCTTTGAAGTGTTTTCCAAATCTTCTCCTTTGTCTTTGAACTACTACTTTATTTTTTTTTTATTGATTTTTTTACTTCTTTTTTCTTGCTAAATTTTTTAAAAGAATTATTAATTTATTATTATATTAATTTTATTTAAACAGGTAAACGTGTGATAACCGGTTTGACAGGTCTCACCCGAACACGACTCGTTTATTAAACGTGTTTGGCGTGTCAACTCATTTATCACCCAAACCCGTTAAAATCTCACTCAAACCCGTTTAATTCATGTCGGTTAATCGTATGGTGTCGAATTTTGACAGTACTACCTTACGCAACCAGTTGATCCATACACATATTTCCCTCCCTTGACCTCTGTATGATCTTCCACTTTTGTTCTGCTCAGGAGTTCTCGTTTGAAAATAGGAAACTCTACCGAATGATTCCTCTTTGTATATGCCAAACACGTATATACCATAAGACCCCATTGAAAAATGACACATTATTGATCGGATCGAACTATACAAACTGAATTATCCATTTATTGTTTGTATTTGGATATATTCCTATTGCCTAGGTGGTATCAAAACAATACACTAAAAGAAGGTAGCATCATGGTAACACAGCCCAATGCAACACTTGGCATGTAGCTCCCCAAAAGCAACACAATAATCTTACTGCTCATTTTTTGGGAAACATTCTATCCTTTTGCCCCCACAAATACGTCTTCCGCTATTATTTGACCCTTAATGTTTCAATTATAATATTCTAATTCTTTGAGTTTGCCTCCTACTTCAATTAAGTCGTTGCATTCAAATTTGTTTAATCTTATATATCCATCTGAAAGCATTCACATGACCAAGCAATAGGGTATTTTATTTTTTCTAATTTTAATGCCACACATACGTAAACCGTTATCAAACAGGTCTAACCCAATTTCCTAACAATAACAAATCCATGTTATTATTGGGGCCAAAGTACACCAACTGGTTTTGTTCCCTGTAGATTTTTAGTTACAAAATTTTTACACATTTAAAAAAAAAAAATAAAGAAAGGGACTTGATTGAAACATAGACCAAACAAAGAGGAATTGATTGCAAAACTTGAATCACCATGGACCAAATAGAAACAAGGGTTAATCTCATTTTGCACCCTAAAAGATTGTTTAAATTTTAATTTGTACCCCCAAAGATCAAAAATTTTAATTTACACCCTCAAAGATAGAAATTTATTTCAATGTACATCTCCAAAGATAAAAAATCTCAATTTGTACCCTTAAAGATAAAAATTTATATCAATGTGCACCTAAAATAAAATTAATAAATTATACCTAGATCTCCTCATGTTTGTCACTTAATCATTTGAACTCCTTCACATTTAGAATATTTTCCTTACATCTTATGACGTTTGTGCATTGTAACATATAACCACTTTTCATTAATATCTGTTAATATAATCGTTAAAAAATATGATTTTATCCTAATAAAAAATTATAATTTCATATTACCTTTTATTTTGTGGATTCGATATACTCTAAAGTTGAAAATCAAGTTTACCATTTGAATATCTAATAAAATGTAGATATTTATATAAAAGGTAATATGAAAAACATTATATAAATATTTACATTTTATTAGACATTCAAATGGTAAACTAGATTTTGAACTTTAGAATATATTGAACCCATAAAATAAAGGGTAATATGAAATTATAATTTTTTATTAGGATAAAAATATATTTTTTAACGGTTATATTAATAGATATCAATAAAAATGGGTTACGTGTTATACGTGCACAAATGTCATAAAATGTAGGAGTAATATTCTAAATGTGAAGAGGTCTAAATGATTAAGTTACAAGTATGAGGGGATCTAGGTATAATTTATCAATTTAGTTTTAGGTGCACATTGATATAAATTTCTATCTTTGAGGGTGCAAATTGAGATTTTTTATCTTTGGGGTACACATTGATATAAATTTATATCTTTAAGGGCACAAATTAAAATTTTTTATCTTTGGGGGTGCACATTAATACAAATTTCTATCTTTGAGGGTGTAAATTAAATTTTTTAATCTTTGAGGGTATAAATTAAAATTTTTAATCTTTAAGGGTATAAATTAAAATTTGAATAATCTTTTAAGGTACAAAATGAGATTAACCCTAGAAACAAAGGGTATACTTGGGAAGGTAAAAATATTACTTTTCCCTTTTCTTTTTTTTTTTGGTCATACAGACTTGTTTTTTCTGTCCTCTTCTATTCTATATATGACAAGCAAGCTCATTGGTGGTGAGACAACTAGGGGCAATTGGCACTAAAGTTACATTCCAAAAAGTTTGCTGAGGTTGGGGGCACTGGGCAGTGGATAGTTGCATATATAGTGCTTCCAAGTGAGTGAGTGAGAGAGAGAGAGAGAGAGAGAGATGGAGAGGGATATGAAGCAATCAAAATTCAAGAGGATTTGTGTTTTCTGTGGAAGTAGTCCAGGAAAGAAGGGTAGTTATAAGGATGCTGCTTTAGAGCTGGGGAAGGAACTGGTATAGTGATGCTCTCTTTTTTAGCTCTCTCCTATGCTCTCTCCGATGCTCTGTTTTAGCTCTCCCCTATGCTCTGTTTTAGCTCTCCCCTATGCTCTGTTTTTTGTCTATGTTCTGTTCTGCTTTGTGTTCACTCTGTTCTTTGCTCTGTTTTAAAATGTTCCTTCAAAAGACGTGTAAAGTTTGAGGTTTGGCTTCTGTTTAGTTCAATTTTTCTTCAACAAACTTGTTATCAACAGAAAATACTTGGTACCCAAAATCAATTAATTGAAGGTTTTGAGCAAAATCATCTTTCATACAGTATGCTGACTTTGTTGCTTGAAGCCAAGAGGTCTCTCTCTCTCTCTCTCTCTCTCTCTCCCCAAAAGAATGTGTGAATTGTACTTGCATGTACTGTTCTCTCCAGTCTTGAATGAATATTGAACTCCTTGTCTCCATTTCATCTTTCTTTTGCCTTGTAGTATTGACTTGTATCTGATGGTTCTCTCTCTCTCTTTCTCTAGAAAATCATTTCTCATAATAAAAAATAAGTCCACTACTTGCTTACTGGGCTAACCTTAAATGGCTTGCTAAAGGTATCAAGGAAAATAGACCTAGTTTACGGAGGAGGGAGCATTGGTTTGATGGGTTTGGTCTCTCAAGCTGTTTACAGTGGTGGTCGCCATGTCATTGGGTAAGCTACTAACCTTCTTCTTCACTGAATTTTTTTTGGGTCTTCAACTATGAATTAATGAATTTAAAACAACATAAAATTAGTGAATTTTCAGCAGTTCGTTAGTAGTTCGTTTTGGCCTTCATCGTAACTAATTTTTTGTCCTGTCCTTGTTTCAGGGTAATTCCCAAGACACTCATGCCTAGAGAGGTATGTCTGTTACTTCCACAATATTTCAAAGTTCTTGTCCTTACAGAAAATGACAATGACAAAAAGTAGAACAAATATCAGAGAGAGCATTATCTCCTTCTTTTAACCTTTCCAATTTTGTGGGGTCTTTTCATTTTGTCGTAGCCACTGTTACTTGAATTTCTACCTCTACTTTGTTATCTTTTTTTTTTTTTTTTGGCACTAGAGTTCACCCTTTATCTCTACCATGTTGAAGTTTTTTTTTTTCTTTTTGTTCTCTAAAATTTTCTCATATTTTCCTTTTAATTTTTCAAACTTTATTCATCATCCATGTGGGCATCACCTTCTCTACTGAATATATCTTCAAAATTTGAGCAAAAATACATAGGTTTGAATCTCGCCCAAAATGAACCCCACAAAATGGGTCGGGGTTTTAATGGGATTGCTTATCTTAGAATTAGACATCAGAGATTGCACGTGTGATGTGACCAAATCTTGAAAATATAATTTTCATCGTTGGCCGAAGATGTGTTCTCATTACTTTCCACAACTAAAGATATTTTTGTCTCCATGATTTGATTTCTTAGAAAAAGCTACATCTCCACTACTTCAATTTCTTTTCTCCTTTCTTCTCCTATGATCTCTACCATGTGAATTGCTCCCCATAGATAACGTCATCCACTGAGCCGCCATCTTAAACAAACACTCGGAACATGGAGGCTATTTTTCATGATTCTATGTTTTTTATGCTTCTTTTTTTTTGTTTTGTATTTCTGAAAGGGTCGTCCTGCCAGTAATATCCTGTTGGACTAAGCCCACCATCTCGGCAGCACACATAATTGCCTCTCTGCCCCAAACACACCCCGTAATAATTTCTCGAGAAAATTTGGCACCTCCCTCTCTCTCTCTCTATCTTGTGGTGCTGTGTTGACTTCACTGGCTAACTTACTGTGATGTGGTGCAGATAACTGGTGAAACAGTGGGAGAAGTGAAGGCAGTTGCAGATATGCACCAGAGGAAGGCAGAGATGGCTAGACATTCAGATGCCTTTATTGCCTTACCTGGTTGGTTTTTTACCCCTCCAAGAGTATAGGCTGGTACACCCACATCGCATAATTTGATTTTCTTCATTTATGATCATGGAAAGAGAGGGGGTAGCCCAAATGCACTTAAAGTGTTTGTTAAAATTCACCAACTAGGTTGGTGTTTGGATAGCAAGGTAAGAATGGATAGGATTGGAGTTTTGTAACCTTTTTAATTCAATTCAATGCAATCGATCGAAAAAAAATCATATTTTTAATTAATCTCATGTTTGGAAAATACATTTTTATTTCTGTGAGTTCCACTGATTACCTCATGATTTGGAAGTTTTTTTAATTGAATTTCGCAATCATATTCATCGGGCAATCTAGTTTTTTTTGAGAAGCGGTACAATAGTTTTTCTGGACTAAAAATATTCCATTCCCCCGCCCCGCCCAAAAAAAAAAAAATTAATCCACCCCCATGATGGGTTAGAGAAAAGTCATCTCCAATGGACAAAAACAAATGTTCAAATTGGGCCTTGGATAGGCCCAAATGGGATTTTCCAGCAGCATTGTTGCTTTGCAAACTTTGGGATTAGTGGGACCCAATTCAACATATTTTAACCCCCTTTATCGCGCCATCGTAACACCACCTATAAGGAGGTGATATAAAATGGGATTTTGCAGTTGATATTTTTTTGTAATATGATGGTGTAGTTTATGAGATAATGATACCTTTGCACAACGGAAGTGGATGCTTCCACAGCCACAATGTGGAGGCACTGTAGCTCACTATATCAAAGTTGGTAGTTAATGTAGCCATGCTAGACATTATTTGATATCATCCTAATGTATGTGGGAATGAGATTTGAATGCTTATGCTGTTACTGCTATTAGTAGAGAGCAGTAAGAGCAACTGTTTACGGGTCAAATTATCAAAACCTTTTTGTCTTTTCAGAAAGTCTAAGCAAGATCCATCACTACAAAGCACCCCTTCAATCCCTAGTTGGTTACACTCAGATTTTTGGGCATCTGAAGAATCACACAAGTATAGATATTTTACTTATGCCTATCTGCAATAGCTCAATACCCTCTGTAGTTGTACCATCCATTCACCGAAAGAAGAAAATAAGAAGGATTTGTGACCTATTGTACCACTTCTTTTGCCAATGTTGAGGTCAAATGTGAAAGGTTAAATTCCATATTAAGAAAAATAGTGTAAGAAGGATGGATCCAATACCAAATGGCTTAATTTTTTGGGTCAAGTTGGGCTCCAATACGCCAAGGCGTATTGTTGCTGTCACCATTCGTCTATCTGCAATTCTTTTCTAGCACTAATTGCATATTCTGATAGAATAAAATTGTGATGTGCATAAAAGGTGGTTATGGGACTCTTGAAGAGCTTCTTGAAGTGATAGCATGGGCTCAACTTGGCATCCATGATAAACCGGTATTCTGATCTTTGCAATTTGAAGGGTTCATTGATCTCTTGTAACCATTGCATTCATACTGGACAAATTCAATGTGTGTGTTATGCAGGTGGGATTGTTGAACGTGGACGGGTACTACAACTCGTTGCTGTCCTTTATTGACAAAGCTGTAGAGGAAGGTTTCATAAGCCCGAATGCACGCCATATCATTGTATCAGCCCCTACAGCAAGGGAGCTAGTGAAGAAATTGGAGGTACAAATCTCCATGGATTGCAATATGAACATTATCTTATCATCAGTTTCAAGCCATTTTTGGCCATAACTTCCTTTATCCTTGAAATGTATTTATATTTTGACCACTATTTTTTTGGCCACGGTTAGTCATTAGGTCACATAATTGTGTGTAGTGGCTAAATTTGGGTTCATAAAGGGTACCCACTGAGGATTGATGACAAACGTAGATAATAAAATTGAATATTGCAGAAATGTGGCCATTCTACCCCTCGCCCCAAGAAAAAAAAAATCCCAAAAGGAAAAAAAAATTTAAAGGAAGGGCCGGGCCTTTTCCAACCTGCTTCCGAAGAGCTAGGCAGGGTATTGCTAAGCACAAAGCTAGGCACACCACGAGGAGAGCTAGGCAATGAAACTAGACGAAGGCAATCGCCAACCTTGACTGTTAAATTCAGCTCAATTTTTAACAAGAAAGAGAAAAAATAATCATCTTAGTGGAGTCATGTTCCATAATGTTGAACCAGCTGAAGTTAGATCCTGCTAACAAAATCAATATTTTTTCGGTGTTATGTGGCCATCTAGAGATATTACTCCTGAAGATACTGCAAGGTTGGTATGCTAGAATTCTGCTTCAAAACCTGGGAACTTTAAGATGTCAAAACAACTTTGCTTTGAGCACGTAAAGTTTATTGGAAAATTCAGAAACTACAGGCCATGTTTTCCATCTTCCCATTTTGCTTGCATATTGTTGCATTTGTTGTTCTTTAACATGCTCTTCATTTTGCTCTGTTTCCTGCCCTTTGATTTCTCAGGTGTACATTCCAAGCCATGAAAGAGTTGCTTCAAAGTTGAACTGGGAAATGGAACAATTAGGCTACTCCTCAAAAAACGATATCTCAAGGTAGAAAATCATATAGAGAGTACTTCAAGAGAGACACAAAGGAGGGGATGGTGCCTTGAGGAGAAAGGGCGAGAAAGTGGGGGGGCTAATTGTAGAAGACCGCAAATTTTCATGAGTAGAAGAGTTATTTTCTCTTTTTTCTTTTGTGCATTGGCCTCGGTGAATGAACTGATGAAGCTTTGTGAAAATTTCGTTGTTTTGGAAAATTTGTTCCTCTAAACCAAAAGAAACCCCCAAGAGAAGTTGGAAATTTTGCAGTGCGTTGAATTAGTTGGTCATTGCAACTCATTATAAGACTGAAGTTTCTTTTAACTTTAACCATCTTTTGTTAACCAGGCATTGCTGAACTTTAAGATGACAAAAAGGCTTCAGGTGTACATAATGACAACAAAATGCTGTTTTATAAAGCAAATATTTTCATCAGGTTGCTTATTGATGCTACTTATATGACTTACTATGCTTTGTCTTCCACTAAAATAACTTCAGGTTTCAAATGAGTCCCTAGAATAATTCCGAATCTAGTGATGGCTTGAGGTTGAAGATATGATGGCATTTGATGTATACTAGTTGAAAATATATGAGATTGATCACAGTGAAGATGTTTGGAGCATCAAGATTTTGACAGAGACGCCTGCCTCCTGGTTGAGCTATTCTTTAAAGTCAGCTGGCTGAACTCGAGAGTAACTCAAGCGATAATAAATACGAATTGTAAATTTAGATGTATTAAATTTGAATTTTGGAATTCTTCAAGGTCAGGCGATGAGGTATTTATTTATTTCTCGTAAATACTTTAATCTCAGAGTAGATAATTTAAGGAGATTAGTTAAGATATTTATAAACTAATATGAATACCATTAACCATGGAACCAAAACAAATAGTAAAAATTAAAAGCAAGTACACTTTCCTAATATGATTTGGCATCAAGGACAAACACGCCCCTTTTTGAGTCATAAGGACAAATGTTTAAAACAATTAAGTTACTAAATTCAAACTAATTATAAATTCTTTTAATGACAAAACTACCCTTTTAAATGATTTTAGGTCTCTATATATTTCGGGCCCATCAAACAATAATTTTAAATTATGCGCGAGTATTTACACAATATTAAACTATTACATAGGCCTATTTAGTCCACTAAAATGAAACTTATAAAGACAACTTATTAAGGGTGTAAAGGTAATCTTTTGTTATTTTATATAGGGGAGAGGGGAGAAGTCATTTGAGTTGTCTATCTGACATGAGATGACAACTCTTCGTCTTTCTTTCGCCTTATCTCACATTAGTTGTATAAACTTCCTTGATCATCTATAGTCCTTTCAAATCATATTTCATTCCATCTTTAAATAATAATAATTACAAATATATGTATTTATATTATTTATATAAATATAATACATTAATTTGGATTGAACTTGGGTTAGGTCCGATGTCATCAATTTGGGTTTAGTTCAGGTTAAACCTGCAAACCCGAGCTCTTAACCCGAGTCTTGCATAAATTTAATTCAGGTTGATGCTTCTCAACCCTAACTCTAGTTCTAACCCTAAAAATCTCAACCCTAGGAGTATCTCTAACCATTACTTAAATTTAAGCTCAAATTCAAATTTGAGTAAAAAAGTTTTAAAATTTTATTCTAACTCTTAACTCAAATTTATACCAAATCAAGGGAAACTCGTTTTTTCACTCAAATTAAGAGAGACTCAAATCTTTACTCAAATATTTAATTGTGAGATTTTACCATCTTTTAAAAATTCAATGATCATCCTTACTCCCTTTTAAATTTGAGTTTGTCCTCATTTAAACTTGGATCTCTCCTTCTTTAAATTTAAGTTTGTTCATTGGAGTCCTTTATATCAAATCAAACTTTTTATTCAAATATTAATTTAAATTTGAGTTAAAATTTGAGTCATAGTCAAAGATGTTCTAACACTATTTTTTTTGTGTTGGGTTGGGATTGACCCGCCCAAATTACACCCTTACCCACAGGGGCACTATTGCTAATGCTAGAGTGACTGTTATTGTGGCTGTCAATTTTGTAATGTAGTTATTTATGTCATTAAGGGTAAATTAATCTTTATGTTTTTAATTGTAATTTAAGCTCTGAAAAGAACGCGCATGTCCTTCTTGTTCCAAAAGTTCACAACTGTAGACCTACGTCCAAAAGCCCAAAAAAAATAAAGCCAATTGGTTGGTCTTGTGAGTGGGATTTTATTCGTGCTCAAATTTAATTAGTCAGTTATAAATTATTATTTTTGGCACTATAGCATATTTTTGAAAGGGTAAATTATAAGATGGTACACTAAATTAAACTTATTTGACAAAAAAGTGCACACTAAAAAATATAGGGTTATTAAGTACTTAATTTTGATACTTATTTTTATTCAAGTACATAATTTAAATTTATCTATTTTTATTGTGACATTTTGCCCTCCATTAATCTATGTGTATTTAATGCACCATTTTTCTTTGAAAAGTGGTGTATTAAATATCTCTTAATTTTATGTGAGAACTTTAATATATATATATAAATACTTATGTATGTATGTATGTATGTACATACTTGTTGTTAAATCTCTTATCTAAATTTTGAATTATCTTTTAATACATCTTGATACATGCATTCTTTTTTAGAAAGTGGTTTTATTTTCAAATTAATTTAATATCTGACTAGTGTAACAATGTAACAATAACAATGTAACAATAAAAGTGTAACAGTGTAACACTAACAATGTAACAGTATAACAATAATAGTGTAACAAGTTATTTACACAAAATATTGTACTATTACATTTTATCAAACATATAGTTTCATATAATTTCATTCAAAATAATTAATCTCTGTTTTTGAATTTTTTTACCATATGCACAAAACTACTGAATATTGTTTTTGTTACAGTGTTTTTGTTACACTGTCTTTGTTATACTGTTACATTATTCGGATATTAAATTAATTTTAAAAAAAACGCTTGAATCAAGGTGCATTAAATATAATTTGAAAACAAAATCACTTTTAAAAAAAAATACGCATGAAACAAGGTGTATTAAATATAATTCAAAATTTAAATAAGAGATTTAACAATAAATATATATATATATATACGTATATTAACAAATACACATGAATTAAGGTGCATTAAATACGTATTTATATGTATTAACAAACACACATGAATCAATGTGCATTAAAGATAAGAGATTTTGAATTAAATGACTCTAAAATGGACATTTATATTTTTTTAACACACATTTTATTTTATATATTTTTTTATCAAATAAGTCTAATTAAATGTACTGACTTCCAAATAACCCCTTTTGAAATTTGTTGGGCCAATAAGTTAGGCCATGGACCACCTTCGAAGGTTATAATCGAGCCAACCTGTTTGAACAATGAATCAAAAAATATAGCCCAATGGCCCTCCCACAATAGATTATGATTAATCATTATGTCGAATGGATTCAACTTTTGTACATATTTATCTTGAATCATCATTATCATCATCTTAGAGATCTTAAAAAAATATTTTTTTTTATTCAAATCAAATCTACCTATCATTGGGCTGGTTAAAATTTAGGGTTAATTATAAATTACACCTTCAAGGATTGTTCGAATTNAAAAAATTTTTTATTCAAATCAAACCTACCTATCATTGGGCTGGTTAAAATTTAGGATTAATTATAAATAACACCTTCAAAGATTGTTCGAATTTTAATTTATATCCTCAAAGATAAAAAATCTCAATTTATACCCCCAAAGATATAAATTTATATTAATGTGTACCCCCAAATATCAAAAATCTCAATTTACACCCTCAAAGATAAAAATTTGTATCAATGTGCACCCCCAAAGATCAAAAGTCTCAATTTGCACTCTTAAAGATATAAATTTATATCAATGTACACCTAAAACTAACTGCTGTCAATTTGCTGCCTAAAACGAANCTTAAAGATATAAATTTATATCAATGTACACCTAAAACTAACTGCTGTCAGTTTGCTGCCTAAAACGAATTTGATAAATTATATTTAGATCCCATCATGCTTGTCACTTAATCATTTGGTCATCTTCACATTTAGAATATTATTCCTACATGGCATGATGTTTGTGCACGTGTAACATGTAACCTTTTTTAGTTGATATCTGTTAATATAATCATTAAAAATATGATTTTATCCTAATAAAAAATTATAATTTCATATTATCAATTATTTTGTGGGTTTGATATACTCTAAAGTTCAAAATCAAACTTACCATTTGAATGTTCAATAGAATGTAGGTATNACTATCAATTATTTTGTGGGTCTGATATACTCTAAAGTTCAAAATCAAACTTACCATTTGAATGTCCAATAGAATGTAGGTATTTATATAATATTTTTTATATCCAATGTAATATATCAGTTAAACATAATTATTTAAATGCCCAATTGAGGGGACATTTTAGATTCAGAGTATTTTTATTAGAATTTTATAATCGTTAAAAAATATAAATTTATCTTAATAAAAATTTATAATTTCATATTATCATGTATTTTGTGAAGGGTTCAAATGATTAAGTCACAAGTATGAAGGGATCTAGGTATAATTTATCAATTTAATTTCAGATAGCAAATTGACGGCAGTTAGTTTTATGTGCACATTGATACAAATTTTTATTTTTTAGAGTGTAAATTGAAATTTTTGATCTTTAGGGTTGCACATTGAAACAAATTTTTATCTTTGAGGGTTCAAATTGAGATTTTTGATCTTTGGAGGTGTACATTGATACAAATTTTGTATCTTTGAGGGTACAAATTCAAATTTTTTATCTTTGAGGGTGAAAATTGAGATTCGAACGATCTTTCGAGGTACAATTTATAATTAATCCTAAAATTTAATTGTTATATCCTCTATTTTTCATTGTTTGGATAACATATAAGCACTTTTGTGGGACTTATGAAAAAAGGTGATGGAATATAGTATCATTGATTATTTTGTCCCTAACCTATCCAATTCAATACCATATTTGGTTTATAAATTAGTCTTTTAATCAATTCCAAACAAATTTTTTTACATTTAATTTTAAAAAATGTTGTAATTTTATATCCTCTAGACGAACAAGAGATGAACAAGGACTATACAACTCTCTCTCTCTCTCTCCACACACACACAAAAATACATATATATGTGTGTGTGTGTATATATATCTATATAATAAAGTAGTTTACAATTTAAATTTCAAAAGATAAACAAAATAATTTTTGCTTTTTATGGTTCAGATCGTTTTAAATT